GGGGGGGAGGGGGGGGGTTTTGAAGTTGAAGTAAAAATGACTGTCAAATATTGTTTTGAACATCAAGACTGAAGATTTTTCTCTTGCTGTCTTGTTTAAAGATATTCACCATTTTCTTCTTGTCCTGTAGTAGTATTTTTATTTGATGCGGGGCATTTGTATTTCTGTTTTTTGTGTAACTATGAGTCTTGCATTCATCTCTTACAATGCCGGATACTGAAGATATATCATCTGAATACGCAGGCCGTGATTGAGGCTGGTATATTTTCACCTCTTGTCCAACTGCTTCAAAATGCTGAATTTGAGATAAAAAAAGAGGCTGCTTGGGCTATTTCAAATGCGACATCCGGCGGGACTCACGAGCAAATCAAGTATAACTCTTTGTTAGCCATTATCTCATTCGTGTAGGTTACTGTACATTTGTGTTGAGTATTAATGCTTCAACTTGGTAGCAGGTTCTTGGTGCAAGAGGGTTGTATAAAGCCACTGTGTGACCTTCTAGTTTGTCCAGATCCAAGGATTGTCACGGTCTGCTTGGAAGGTCTTGAGAACATACTGAAGGTTGGAGAAGCTGAGAAGAACCAAGGCAACACCAAAGACGTGAATATCTTTGCCCAAATGATTGATGATGCAGAGGGTCTAGAGAAGATTGAGAACCTCCAGAGTCATGACAACAATGAAATATACGAGAAAGCAGTGAAGATACTTGAAACATATTGGTTAGAAGAAGAGGATGAGCAGCTGCCCTCTGGTGATACTACACAACCTGGATTCAACTTCGGAGGTGAACTTCCTGTTCCACCAGGTGGTTTCAAATTTGGTTGAAGGTATAGTAATCACTCTCTTCCATGGTCTCTGCAACTGTGTAGCCTGCATGACTGTCTGCATATTTGGAAAAGTTTAAAAGATCTACTAAAAGCAAGTATAGGAAGTGTGTATAAAAGGTCTAAATTATAAATAAATAGAAATGAGTAGAAGATATATTAGTACTTGTAGGTCCCTCAAAACGTGTGGATAAAAAGTGGCTTGAGTATTTATAAACATGAACCAAAAATAAGCTAAATGATAAGTTCTAGAACAAAATTATTTTTTTGGCCAAAGTTGGAAATAAGTTCCTTATTTGCAAGTAACCACCCATTCTACTGACAAAATAAGTAATATTTTTTTTCTCTGGAAACATAACTAGAATTTGATCCCTATGATCGAAGTTATATACTCTATAATATAGGTCTTATCCACTCAAATAATGGAGTGCGTATGAAATTTTTACTTATTTAAATTTGTTTGGACACAAAAATTTAGTTGAAAGTAAGTTTGACTCACTTTTAAGCTCATCCATACATGCTGTATGTATTTGTTCTGGATTATTAACTACCATTATTGCCATCCTTTGCAGTGTATTATCATGTTGTTTCTTCTACTGTATCAACAGATATATAAATTCCTCAGGGTTGGGGCATTTGTTGGTGTAGCGACATATTTAGAATTTCTTCTAATTTGTACATGGACACTGAAACTGACATGGTTGGGAATATTTGCAGGGTGTTTCTTTCCTTATTGGAAGTACTCGTGATCTGGCCGGTCAAACTTTTTTTCAGAGTCAGGTGGGCTATCTGTGTGTAATGTTTTTGTGTTGGGTGCAGATGCAATTGTGATTGGAGAGATGCAGTAAAAAGGTTAGATGGTAACACTTGTTGAATGCAAGCTAAAACCACTTGAACAATCCATGTTTTATCTACTTTCGGATCTGCCTTATCTATTTGTTTTTCCCATACGGATGAGATTGTCATCATACATGTCAGTTACACTGTGTTATGTTGGAGCAAATAATGAGAAAAGTGTCGTATATATAATTTTTTGTGAATGTTCTAGTCGGCTTTACCTCGTGTTCATAATTTACTGTCTCAGCAGTTAGATAGACATAGTTTTGGTATATATGAGATATTGATGTATTTTGAGTTTATTCTTATAGCCATGCGTTAGAACTTCCCTTTTTATTGCTTTTTCTTCTCAATATCCTAACCCAAAAATAATAATAATAATGATATTTTTCTGTCAAATGATATGATGCAATTCATTTTCCTCAATATTTTACTTGGCTTTCAAGTATAGTGGTTACGGACTAGTATTTTTAATTGTATTTTGGATTTAAAGAAAAGAAGAACAAGAATAAAAAGTTAAATGCTGTAAAGAAAAAGAATAAAAAAATAATTTTAGACTGTGATTGAAGATCTTCTCTTATATTTATGGGGTACTTTTAAATTTGAACCAGTCAGAGGTTCAAAATTTCAATTTGACTTTGAAAATCTTGAATATTATTACGATGACCTCTTATATGGTAAAAGATAAAGATGTCCTTAAATGTATTATACAATTACAAAAAAATGTATTGTTGAAAAGATTTTACTGTCCTTTTAGTTAATAATTGAAAATCAAACATTTTCTCACTTATAAAACTTCAAAACGAGCTTCCAACATAAAAAAAATTCTCATCTTTCATTTGCTTGAACCTCAAAATCTCAAAAAAATTTCAAATGCTGAAACTGGAATTTTTTTTCATATCAATTACTTCAAATCAGTAAGAATATTTACGCATGTTTAATTTTATTTTCAGTAAATTAGTATACGTTTGAATAGAGAAATTTTATTTCGACATAGTAATAGTTAGTATAATTTTTTTTAACAGAAAAACCTATAAAAAAAATTGAACAGATCTTTGGTTGTTTAACAGTCGACCGTTGGCTGTTAAATAACCAAACAATCGATTTTTGTGCTTCTATTTTCACAAAAATCGATTGTTAAAGCTATTAATTAATTAATTAATTTTTGCTGGCACTAATTTTTTCTTATAATTAATAAATGAAGTTGATTAAATCACTAAACATATGAATTTTTTTGTTGTAAGTTATTAAAAAAATTCTATTTCCTCATGCAGATATGATAATCCCGTCTGTTATTTCGGTGATTTCGAATTGAATGAAAATAATCGATGAGAATGGAGATGGACGAGCGACATATGTGGTTGTATTGCAATTCCCATAATAAAGAGTACATCATACTCAGAAGTGTACCCCGATTTGTAAAATAAGCTGAATGTCGATCAATCTCAATACGATATGTAATTGGGATATCTATTCAACGGTTATGAGGATTCATCCATTCCGATTCCACTGACATTCGTTACTAATGATGCTGAATTGAATTATCTATTAGAATTGAATAAAATGCATCGGACTCCGACTGTTTTTGGTGTGACTTTAGTTAAGAAGGATATTATCGAAAGTGAACGCGAAGATTCAGATAAGGCGGATAATAATGATCGAGATTTTTGGGAGACGGTGGAGATAGTTCCTGCGGATGATGTGATTATTCCTGAGACAGTTGCTCCTAATCGTAACATTGCTGTTACGCACAGAATTTTGTCAACAGTTGAAAACAATAAGAATATAAATGAGTTTACAAATGAGAATTTGATTGCTTTATCCCGATAGAGACGTGAGCTGGCTGGGAGCTCACAGGTTGGAACAAGTGGACCATCCTCCAATTCTTCCCGTGTGGCTCCTGATGATGATGACTTATATGTCGAGCAACTGTTTGAAACCAAGAAAGATTTGCAGGAAATTGTGCACCGACTGGTATTAAAATATAACTTTGAGTGCAAAGTAAAGAAATCAAACAAGTCATTGTTGGCAGTTGCCTACGTCAAAAACAGTTGCAATTGGCGCTTGAGAGCAACTAAGATGGACACGAATGAGTGCTTCGTAATTCGCAAGTATTCACGGGAACATACTGCGAAGTGGAAATTCTTCGAAACGATCACAGGCAAGCTCGAGCATGGTTTATTGGTCGACAGATAATGCACAAGTATCAGGACCCACGGACGATCTACAGACCTTTGGACATCATTAACGATGTCCGTCGAGAGTATGGAATGGTCATGAGCGACCAGAAAGCCTGGAAGGCCAAAGAATATGCGTTGAATAATTTAATGGGATCGGTTGAGAAGAGTTATGCTAAATTGGCCAGGTATTGCCATTACATAGGGACAACTAATCCTGGCACAGCATTTTTTATTGAGACGAGAGGCAATAATTGTTTTAAGTATTTCTTCATGACTCTCGGACAATGTATTCGAGGTTTTCAAAATACAATGCGACCCGCAATTCTAGTTGATAGTACAACTCTAAAAGCTAAATATCAAGATAAATTAATTATTGCTACATTTCAAGACGCCAACATCCAAATTTACCCTATTGCATTCAGCATAGTCGACAACGAGAATAATCTGTCCATGCGTTGGTTCTTTTCTAAATTGAGGTAATTGATCGGGGAAGTCGAAGACCTTGCCTTTGTAATCGATCGGGGACATTCTATAATAAACGGTATAGCTGAAATTTTTCTGGAGGCACATCACGGGTATTGCATGTACCATATATAAAGTAATTTGAAGACTAGGTATCGGGGCAAAGGCATCGTTTCATTAATCAGGAGAACAATCGAAGCTTATAGTGCTGAAGAGTATAATAAGTTCATGTTCGAGATAGGAAGTAAATCATTATCGGCATTGGAGTATCTGACGAACATGGGGATCGAACAATAGGCGCGGTCATACTTTCCAGGACGTCGATACAACATGATGATGTCGAATAACGCGGAGTCTCTCAATGCATTGTTTAAGAAGGATCGAGAGTTATCAATTCTCGCAATGATTGAGAACATTAGTAATAAGTTGCAACAGTGTTTTCATGACCGACGTGCGGCATCACAGAGTTGCACTAGCGTATTGGCCCCAGCTCAAGAGGAAAAACTCTTTAAGACGGTAGAGGTCGCGAGGAAATTGAATGTGGAAGCACTGGATGAGTTCCGCTTCTCCGTGCAATGTGCACGTAATACGACATATATGGTGGACTTGACTGATAACACATGCACTTGTATGAGATTTCAGTTAGAGAGTTTTTTATGTGAACATGCAGTTGCGGTGGCCATGTATCGAGGCTTTGCAGCAAGAACGTTATGCTCTTTGTATTATACGACTGAGTCTTGGAGAACAGCATATGCTGAGACTATATTTCCTCTGCCGAATGAAGCCGAGTGGGAGGTTCTCGAGCACATTCTCCCATTTAATAATTTGTTGCCACCAGTAGTAGAACTGCGTGGTCCTGGACATCCAAGTACGTCTAGAATACCATCTACCAGAGAGTTTCCTCGACCGCGTAGGTGTGGCAAGTGCAGAGCCATAGGGCATACTCGACAATTTTGTAGCAGTCAAATTCCCCTAAATGACAATTAGACAGGTACATTAAATGAATAATATTTTTGTTTACTTTACACTGTTCAATATTTGTTCTTCATAAATGTTCAATGTTCAATATTTATTATTGATAAATGGTAATTATAATGATTCATATGAAGAAAATAGTTCCAATGTGAATGTTATAAAATTTGAACACAAATTTACAATTATTTCATAATCACAAAAAATAATTAAATTTACAATTCGAATATTACATATATTTAATACAAATTTACGGGTCACCATTAAATTCGAACAAATCACAAGCTAGCTTCTTTCTCCAGTTCTGTATCCACGATCGGTTGATTCCATCAACCGTATCTCCTATACTTAAAAATTCAACATACTTAATGGCAAATATGACGCAGTCGCCGCTACAATTGAACAAAAATGGATCAGTTCAGTACTGTGCAGCTAAAAACTAAATATGAAAGATGAAAACAACAAAGTTCAAACACTTACCTTATGGACTGTCGCGCTGTCGTTTTGTTCCGAACAATCCGCAATCTGTCATGTACAGTCATCCCCGCTCGTCTGGCCATCATAGGAACAATTACAGCTACGGACTCTAGGTTTTGCTCTAGCTGGCCTTGTGTCAAACATGAATGATCTGAGTCGTACACATATATAGTCGTGTCAGCAAAAACGATCTCCAGCGTAACATAGTGATTATTGATGCACGCTGGAATGTACATATGTGTACAACCCTCCCACGATTTTCCCCGACACTCGGCGACATTCCTATGACCCACTCGAGCATATATTCTGGCACCGTGTACTCGTTACCCATAAGTTGGAGCGACTGATAATCTATGGTAACGGCACGCAGGAACTCGATGTTTAATATGACTCGACCATGGACGTCAAATGATTTTGGATGTCTTTGAGCTCGATCTCGCAGCAAGTCCATGGTCAGGTCGATGTGCTGCATCAGGAAACACAAAAAAAGTATGAGTTATTTATTTAATAAACACAAAGTGACGTAAAAATAAAAACACGAAATAAATAGTTCACTTACATCGTCGGCGAGCTAAGCTCCCAAAGTGGTGATATCGTGGAACCACTTGTAAGCGTCCGAGACCATCCATTGACCTATCGTGTGGCTAACTCTGAAAAAGTAGGGAAATGTTAAAATAAGCATAGACGAGTTAGCGTACAGTGCTTTATTAAAATCATACAATACTTACCCGGGGATAATTCTCCTCCACTCCGTCTCAAATGCTTTTCACTTGGCGTTGTCCACCTCCCTGAATAAGTTCGGGTGCATCCCATCGATGAACGTCCTCCTCTTGGCCTCAGCCGTGAAGGGGGAAACAACATACTGTGACGGCACTCTCAACCTCTTGTCAACCACCTGCTCCGTCTCATCAACGGCATGTCTTTTACCCTCAATCACGACGAGCGTCCTCTCGACCTCCGGGGCCACCTCCTCCGTCACCACCTCCTTCGCCCCTCTCATCGGGGTCACTCCCTCCGTCGTCCCCTCTCCCTCCATAGACAACCACAATGATTCTAATGTCTCATCACGCTAAAAATGTGGGTGACCCTCCTCTCCATCATCATCTCTGGCACCATCTCGATCATCATCTCCGCCATCCCCTCTGTCTCCCCATCGCCTATCGGCTAAATCTCCTCTAAGTACCGCTACCGTATCCTAAAGGTCGA